CAACAGTCATATCTAAGGCCCCACAAATTTATTAAACAGACAGGATGGAATACCATCTGAAATCTTTTTAAGGGACTATAAGGTGGCAACTCATATCTGCAGTCATATTGAAAGAAAAGGATCAACAGTACCTAGCTAATCCCTACCTTCTCACGGAGTCATGGTGAGAAGCATGCATGAAAGGTTTAGATTCAACATAACAAATTTTGATTTTCTATCATTGTCCGAAAGGCCAGAAGTTTAAAAAACAACAACTAAAATTTGTTACTCTCTCTTCTCAGAAATGGTATTAGTATATCGTCTCAGAGGTAATCATCACTGCAGAACCAGGAAGCACATGAGACATTAAAGGGTTAAAAAAATACTACCATCAAGCATCCTTTTGTGCCTTGGCCATAAGCCACAAAATTGATTCAATTTCTGGTTTTCCAAAAACAATATCAAGGGTTACCTAATTTTGCTCTGTAGTTATGATAAACATAAGTTTATCAACTCCTAAACTTAATGAACATGAACAAAAATTCCAACTCAACCATTTTCAAATGTTCTTTCATTCTGACTCAGACACCACCTCTACTGGACTACGATCTGTAACTTGTCAACTATTTTGAGGACCATAAACAAAACCGGTAAGAACTGGCACAATATCTGGCTTTGAGAAAATGATATGATTATCAAGTTCAAACTGGCTTTTAAAAAAGATTAAAGCATGTCAGGCAGCTATTTAGAGAATATCCGAAACAAATAACTCTGAGATTTCTAGAAAAGGTGGAGAAGATGCTGATACTGAAAAATGAAGAGGTGTTCTGTTACACAGAATAGCCAATAGAAGCTCTGCTAAGCAAGAAAGCCTGGTGCCAAGCATTTACAGCATTGTAAGCAATAGCTTTTCTCCTGCAAGTTTTTATTTTCAGCTCAGATTAGAACAGCAGAGCTGACTGGTCTGGCACGATCCAAGAGTGACACACACACACACACACACACACAGAACACAGCTTTGTAACTCTGTTTCCATTTACAAATTCCCAACTCCCATTTCATCATGTCACTCTCCCAGCAAAGGCAAAACTAACACAAAATATCTCCCCTTACCCCACAAGTCAACAAAATTAAAAAAAAAAAATGTTTTCTCTGACTGCTATGAGAAAAAGGCAGCAACAGGAAGAGTTAACTTAGCCAGTCTCACCTGACTGAAATTATATTATGACTGGCAGAACGTTTTCTGCACTATCCAAAACCCACAACTTTTCTGTGATTGCTGAGGAAACACGCTTGATTCAATATAATTAAATATAATAGGCTGAGCTAGCTACTAAAGAGTTGTAACAAACCTAAAGTACATAGGGGAGGAGGGGGAGAGATAGCAATGAAGTACAGAGTAATTTACTATCCCAAGTACAAACAAAATAACTCCCCTGTTATTTTCCCAACCATCAGTTTTCATGTGTCTAGAAGTGTTTTCCACAGGCTTGGAGGCAAGGGAGTACTGCAGCTCAAGGAAAACCCTGTTGACACTAGTAGGAAACAAGAGTTTTAAGTAAAGCTTATTATCGTGCTGATTCAGGTGTATTTTTTGCAGAACTAATGCCTCTTGAGCTTAGGTTTCAAAAGCTTTAGGTGCTAAGGGAACAAGATTTTTCAAATTTGGGGGAATTCAGTCACCATCAGTCACTGAGCTACAGCTCTGTGCATGCAGGCATGTTTTCCTAAATGGGAGGAACAAAAAAAATATAAGCAGCAGAAAGTCTAGATATTTTCTCCTTATAGTTGAAACAAGAAACATGGTGCCCAGTGAAACAGGGGGGAAAAAGCACTTCAAGTCAATTCTATTTACCCTCTGTTTCCTTCTTTAAACAAATATTTAAGATTTATAAAAACAATTTAAGTGTCCAACAGCAACATGTACTATACTATACACGTAACTATTGTGCACGTGTTCATCTATTGTGAATCAGAGTAGGTCCCTTACAGCTTGATGCAGTTAAACTAGCTCAGATCAGCAAAAAGTCAGAGACATACTCTTTTATCAGTGTCATTAATGTTTTGGATTCATTCCTGTCACCAGAGCTCACTTCAGTCAATGAAACACAATGTTTACCAAGGCTGGAATCATGTACTTTCAGCGTGATAAAAGCTGGGGTACATTTTTTTAAATGTTCTGAATCTCATTTGGCTTTGGGCTCCTAGGCATAGCAATTTTTAAATACACACTACTGATTTAGACCAAAGTGAAAATGCTCAGAAGTTTTACTAGAAAACATCTGAAAAGTTTCAGTTCTATTCTCTGGAACAACACAGCAGAATCATTTACTTTTGCGAAATGAAATATTCCAAAGCATAAAAAAAAGAAAGCATAGCTTATCGTGACACAGTGATCCAACACTTTTAAGGGCCACAGCTTATTTCCTTGCTTCAGGTCCCCCCGTGCAAATTGCAGCAAAGCACTTCTTGCTCCTGGAGTATCTCTACAGCCACCCCAACCTCACAGGAAAGGCAGCAACCCTGCGCGAAAGACAACAGGCTAGCTGGAACCATACTGTGGGCACGCTTGGCCCATCAGCTGCCAGCTCGATCCCACTGATCTCAGCAGAGACTGGAGCTACACTGTTTTTAGCGGGCTTGCGCCAGGGAGCAGGAACACACAACAGCTGCACAGGCTGCTCTTGGCTCAGCCTCAGGCACCCATATGTTGCTGTTCAAAGGTAGCCTGAGGCTAAAGCAATTGACAGCCACACTGAAGTACAAGGCAAACGGCCTATCCTGTTCACAGAGGCCACCTGCGAGCAGCAACCAGCGTTGAGGTCCTCCTAAAAAACATCCCTCCAGCTACCTCGTATGCCTAATATCAGCCACGTAACACCACTGTAGTGTTAAAGAAGGCAGCAGCAGGTCCGCACAACATATACTTAGTTAACCCACTGCAGAGGCAGCTCCTCTGTGCACAGCAAGGACCTGGGCACCCCAAGCACCAACAGAGGACAGGTCTGCAGTCATTACGGACAGCCCACGAGTTGCAACTTGAACCCGTTTTTGAAGTATAATATGGGAGGGAGGGCAAAAAGTCTGGAGTTCTCACCCCAGGTCTGCACCAACCCCTTCTGCAAATCAGAAGAGCTCTACCTCAAACTTCTACATCTGCAAACTAGTACATTAGTTACTATTTAACTAGGGAGCACATCAACACTTGTTAACATCCAAGGGTAGTTCCATGATAAAAGAGCAACCTATGATTATACTGATAAAAGCAGGACATGACAACAGAGCATGAAACGAGCTACCGGGTTTTCCATCATCATTTGTTAATTCTACGGGAGAACAGAAATTAAAGCAATTTAATTAACCCACATGAAGATGTCCTTAAATATGTATATATTTTTTGAGCTCAGGTCTTACCAAAACAGTTCTTAAATCTATGAAGAATGCAGAATGCATACAGAAGCTATGAAGCTTCTGTATAACTACTCTACACACAGCATAACACGACTGAAAAGCATGCAGTCAGTGCAATGGAGATGAGTGGCCAGGATCCAGGATCAGAGATGAGCAGCTCCATGCACCCATCCTGGTTGACTCAGGCATGTCTGCCTCCCTTACCACTCCTGGAGCTTTGCAGGAACTCCCTCTAATATCCCCAAGAGGCAACCTGAAATGCAGCAATGTAGAACCAGAGATCCTCTTGCCAACTTCTCATGGTCAAACAGTATACGCACAGCGGATTTTTTTTCCCCCCAAAAAACTTAGGAACTATATTGAAAAAATGTGTTTGTACAAGCATAGGATTCTTAAAAGAATTTTAAAAAGTGAACTTTTTAATTCACTGACCAGTGTGCATACTCAGCCCTTGATTTTTCTTAAATCAAGAATCAAAATAATCTTTATTTGTATGGAGAATTCCAGAATCCCCTGCAAAAATTTTTCAATTCTTCCCAAAATTTAGGCAATATTAAAAAAAAAAAGCGCAAGCTAAAAACCCCACCACACCAAACACACAACAAAAATCCTAAAGCCAGTGTTTTCAAAGGCTGTAAATGTGAAGATACCTGGTCCTCAAATCAGGAATACAGACTAAATGGTCCAATTTTCTAAACCATTTGATTGTAACAGCTGTAAAAGCTCCTGTACAACTATGGGTGTTTAGCAGAAAGCAGTAAGGCTCTTAATTATAAGGTTAAATATTACGTGCAGAGTGAATCAAAACAAAAAAGAAATCCACACAGTCTGTATTATATGTGGGGAGAAGATTCCTTCTCTGCAGATTTAACACCTAGAACACCTGTTCCTAGCTGCAAAACCAAGTGACCCAGAATTGACTATCTGGTCCTAACTACAGGTAACCTTCTCAGATTTAAGTTTTAAGCTCAGGAGGAGAGAAAGACAAGCAGAGAAGATGGATTACCCTTGTTTTTCCTCTCTCCTCCCCCCTTCATTTTTTATAAACTTGCCAGGATAAGTTTTATGCAGAGGGAAGAATGGGAAAAATAAGTGTATTCCTAACTTTTGTCCATTTATGCAAAAGTCATAGCATAATAAAGTCTGGGTTTTTGCTAAACATGAATGTGAAGACACAGATCTAAAGTCTTTTTAATTTATAAAAGGGATAGACCAAAACTATTTTAAACACGTTTCCTTCAAGAAATTCATCATCTGTCAAAAATAAAAAAAAAGAAAAGAGAGAGAAACTTGAAAAGATTTGCAATCCAGCCTTTGAAAAGGGACTTTCAGAATAAAATTTATTTTCAGAAAAGACATTCTCTCAGCCTTGTGGTATTTACTAGTAAATACTCAATTTCAAGTCAGTTACCAACCACACAGAATTATGTTATGAAATAGTGCACAAAATACTGTCAATTTTACAAACTAAACAGAAAAATGCTAGTCTTTAACTATCAAAATATGTGTTATTCCAATTGTAACAATTCCAACAATTCCAAGTTTAGCTAGGTTAGCTTATATTCTGTTTGCCACTGAAGCGCAGACTAAGCAGAGATTACTGGTAGTACCTCAAAACGTTGATATAATCCATCTTGCAGGACTTCCCAATAACGACGTAAAGAGTTGAATGAGATCTCCCCTGTAATCTACAGTGGTTAAGAAAGAGGTTTTGGTTCGTCTATAAAACAAATCCCTTTTCTCATAATAAATTCAACAGCCACTTGAATGGCATTTAATATACTCCAAAAATATTCACCATAATGAATTTCACTCACTGCCCTATTACAAAATAAAAAGATCTTGAAAGGGACATAGTAAACACTTTCAAATACATTTTTAAGGAATGTTTTGTAGATGCTCACATGTACTTTGCCACATACACAAGCAAGGATAAAAAGGCATGCTACTTCACAATAAGCACCTACCTGAACACAGTAAAGTAAATAAATAGTGACAGCACTTATCTGTATTTCATGATTCTCATTTAAGTTAAACTTTAACTTTCAGAATCCATTTTAAGATTTTCTCTCCCACCATTCCTCTACATCCTTCTTGGATTACTGTAAGGTGTTTCTTCTTACATAGTAAGAAGATATATAGTATCTTACGTAGTATTTTTCTTCTAGAGTAAGACAGGAGTTAAGCTAGTTTGTTTCAGTTTAATACACATTAATATTTTAAAAACAAGACAAAGGTCTGCTAAGTGTCTTACCATGTACGTACCACAGGATGGCATAAAACTGTCCAAACACCCAAAACTAGCACAAAAACGAGTCACCGTAGATAGACGATACATGCACAAATACATACTCTCACCTTAGAGCGCTGAAAGTGCAAGTTTCCATCTCATAACATCTGGTGCTAATCATGCAAACAACTTCACTCAAAGCTTCATGAAATGCTGGGAATTCATGCTCATTTTGGACTGTCAATATTTCCTTCCATCTTACTCATCAGAAGTAAAAAGAGATGTTTGTTCCAAAAGGAGAAGTAACAACTTGTCTCTCCATTAGGGAATTATGGCAACTATTTCCTTTTGTTTGTAACATCTTCATTATCATCCAAATACAACTCTGACCTTGCATTTGCCTCTGGGCAATACACTAAAGAAAAGTGAATGAATTCCATATAAGCTATCTATGGTTGTTTACTTGAATGTTTCTAAGCTTGTTCAACTGACATTAAAGGAGCTATTTCATAGAATACATGCAAGTGGAGTTAAATTGATGCCATTCAGGTCACGTGCTGAAAAAAAATTAAAAACAAAAACAAGATTGGTACAAAGCCATTTTTCACAAACGACAGTAAAATAACGTTCTCTGCTGTTGAGGGAAAGTACACACATCTCTGAATGCAAACAAGCATTTCTGTAAGACTTCATGTTGGAAACTGACCCCAGCTAATACCATTAAAGCAAAATATATCTCCTGAATGTAGTGCGTGTGCCACAGCACCTGTGCTGTGACAAATCATAACATAACATTCACAGTTGATGGGTTATATCAGGCTTGTTACAATCATTTAAATCTCACCTCATGCATCTGATCCAAAAGGATTACAGTATTGGTACATTACAGGATTTTGTCATCAGAATATTTACGATTATAACTAAATGGCACAATGCAGAGCCACACCCGTGGTGGCTCTAGATGGGCAGTACCGCTCAGACATAACATGTCAGGTCCTGACAGCTCTGCTGTTGTATTCAAGTGGCACAACATCCAACCTAGTTAGCCTTAGCCTCTCAGCTGACCCTGCTATCACCTTCCAGCTCTGAAGATGGTTTGTTTGCTTCTTTTCACAGCTCTGTATCACATGGTATATACATCCTCTCGGCTTTAAATAAAGCACACTTTCAAGCCATTGAAGCAGCTGGAGGAGATATGAAAGGAAAGAAGAAATATTAAGTATTCCTCAGAAAAACAGCAAACCCTGTCTGCTGAGTTAAGCATCAGGCTGCTAACCCTTAACCCCTTCCCCACTGTTCACTGTCACACTCAGGGGCAAACATAAATTGCAGTAGGTAGGTTTGCCAAAGTTGATTTAAGCAGTTATTACCCTCAGTTGTCATTCCCACCTTCCCATCAGAGATTACAATCCCTGGGGCAGAGTCAGCAAGAGAAACTGGTGTCTCCAGCTCAGCTATGCTAGTTACCATGCTATATTAGCTTAAACTATGGACAAAAGCTTACTCTACCCTGACACACTAGCCTTTGGTCTGGAGAATGTAAAGCACCCCTGCCAAGCCTGCAATGGGGATATTGGCCTTCAGAGGGCAGAGAGCTTCAGGGACGCTGGGTACAAGTAATGGTGGTTCCTTCAGTGACTGCCAGAGCCTCAAGATTAGGATCCAGAATGTACATTTCCTCCTTCTTCCACGGTGTAGCATGACAGAAGACTTTCAGGGACACGGAATTACAGTTCATTAACGTTGAGAATGGTTCAGCCATGTTACGGAAGTAAGGAGTCTCTGTCTGGGCCCCTCTCCCAAGCCTAACACTGGCTCTTACTGAAGACAGGGCAGCACAGACAGATATCCGAGTATCAGACAATGCACTTTTTGGCTGCCTCATCATGCAGGATGTTGGTTAAAGAAGTTCATGTGTAGCAAAATAGCAGACTTCAAAATACTCCCCTACACTCACAAGTGATCAGACATATTTTTCCTGGATTGTTAGAGGAGTAGTCTCCAGTCTCTCTCTATTTGTCTGCCGCTTAGTTAACTCTCATCCTGCTGACTTCAGGGCTGCAGTAACATTGCAGCCCTCTCAAAATGCTGTGGCCAAACAACCCAAGAAATATTCCAAGCATCAAAAGAGACTGCTGTGCATCTTTCATGAGGTAAAAGGACCATCAGCCACAGAAACAGCATTTCACAAAACCAAAATGAGACCATCCAAAACTCATACCACTCTAGACTAGAATGCCATTCCCTCGCCTCAGCCTTGTGGCCAAAGACTTCTAGCAATCAGCCTTGATAAAGTTCCATGCCAAAAGAGCAGGAGCTTTTACTTGTCTATGTAGCTTCTCATCCTCCATAGGTACAGAGAAGAGATTTAACTATGACATCATGTTTGCTTTCTTAGCATATCCAGAACTGAAAGTTTCTATTCAGCTATAGTAAGACCAAAAAGAGCCTGAATCACTCAATTTATAACATCAATAACCAAATCACACTCACCTGTTCACCACACCCCTTAACGGCTTATGAACTCACTAGAGTGCCTGTAGTTTGATTTTCTTCATGGAATAACTCAAAAACTTTTTTAAAATCCTCGGTCACCTCCTAGGCTTGCCCCTTCTTATGTAAAAATAGGTGTCATTTTGTGTAAAAAAAAAAAAAACTAAACTAAACTAGAAATCATGACACCTTTTCTTCCCACAGATTCAGTCAATATATGGAAAAATACCATTCATCCGCATAGCTTCTCTATCAGCTAGATATCGTCATCTGCTTCTGCCAAACACAAATTTGTTCACAGCTTGTTTCTAGCAAAGACTGAGCAAAGAGGCTTTTGGTTAACAAGCCATAATTTCACATATTTGTTTTGAGTTTGCTCTTGCAAGTGCTGCAGAGCTTGCAAGTTCCCTTTTAACAAAACATCTTATGAAACTTAGCAATTTCTGAAGATCAGGTTCATTCTGTATTACCTGTCAGTCTGCAACAGCTTACTTAAGGTATAACATACTCCTACATTCATTGCAAAATTTCAAATGGTGAAAAGTCAGTAATGGGTACACTCAAGGAGAAAAGAGACATCATACTCTCATTATGGAACACAGATGTTTTTGCAGTGCTCTTTTCAGTGGTGTATTAAAAATGGTCTACTAGAAGTGTGCCTGCAGACAGGAAAAAAGAGGTTCCTGTTGATCTTTCTCTTTGCACTCTGTCCTTAATGTTTGGTAGTTATGTCATGAAAGGTGCCAATTCTAAGAATTATTCTATTAGAGGTTCTTACTAAATAAGGTACATAAACTTGCTCAGACCTTAAGTAAATGGCTATAATTAGTTTCATTCAGGCAGAGTGCGGAGAAAGGGATAATGGATAGCACTCTTACCAAAGGCCTCCCTGTTACTATTCAGAACAAGACCCCCTTACTGCTCAGTCCTTAGCTTTAATAGATGTTTACCAACTAAAGTAAAGCTAAAGATGGGTACTGGCAAGCCTCTTTTAGAGAACTCCTACTCTCAGAGCAAGAAGAACTGCTCCTCAAATTTCTGCCCGCAGTGTAAAGAAAATAAATATACATTACAATTATACCTTCTGTACGGAAGACATCTGCGAGATATCTCATATAGCAAGTAACAGAACTTCCCTAGATTTTTTTTCTTTTTTAAATAAACACATGATAATTTCCTAACACAGGAAGTTCATCATGAGCCATAGGGTTGCTTATACCAGAACTCATTCTTAATGTTCTTCTTTAAGAACAGCATCAATGACAACAGTCCCAATCCAACACACATTCTGCAAAGAGGATGGCAACAGTCAGTTATATATAAATACAGAAATTAAAAATGACTGATTTTTTTCAAAACTTAGAGAAACTGTGCAATAGCTGATTAGGAATGTTACAGGTAAATGAACAATTATCAGTTTCAATACTTTTGCATGATAGCTTGATATATACTCAAAAATATGATGGAGGGAAACTCACTAATAAAACTCACTAATAAACAAGAGTCACACAGAAAACTAGAAGGGTATAGCTAAAGTGATAAGGAAACAACGACAGTCCATTGCACTTAGAGAGAACCAAAAAAAAAAAAAAAAAAAAAAAGCTCTTTAAAGCATCATGGAAAAAAAGATCCAAGATGAAATTTAGGTCTACCACTAGCTGATACTGGCAAGGTTAAAGACAAAAAAAAAAGAAAAAGCATAATAGAACAGTGAAAAGTGTAATGGATACTTTCTGATCCTTTGTTGAATGAAGCAAGAAGATGTGATCATTCCATATGACTGTTAAAGGAACCAAAAATTTCCCCATCTATAGCATGTAATAGGAGGAAATGAAGCAGCAAGTACTGAGATAAAAACACTTAACCTCAATGTGCCGGCATAATTTTATAACTAAGTTTAAAGGCTCCGATTTCCCTGAACATCAGTTTCAAATATACTACACGCATCTGGAAAACTCCAAAGGCTGGGGCAGTTGTCAGTACAGTCCAACTGTTTAAGAAAAAGGCATGATCCAGGGAACTACAGGGGGGTTCCGTTCAAAAAACAAAAACCTAACTGTAGGAATGCAAGCTTAGAAAAAGTTATTCAAAACTGTTGATGCTAGCAGTAATGTCTATAAAAATAACAAATGGATAAAACAAATACTGTACTAAAATGACCTTCAAATATTGTACTAAAATGACCTGAACAGCATTTTATATTAAGGATGCTCACATTTTCATGGTTCCATTGCAGTTAATTTGGGATTCCTAACAATGAATTAATGCTAAAAGATTAACAACATGCAGCATGATTTTCAAAAAAAGGGAAAAAATGACAAATAAATCTCTCACCTTTTCAACAGCTTGCAGGCCTAATTGATAAAAGGTGACTTGTGCTAATACACTTGAGTTTTTCTTAACACGGCTAATGTGGAGGATGCATTGACTGAAGAGTTTGACAAATAAAGGCACATGTTAGATGAATTAAAAAGTTGCCCCCCGACTGATCTCAAGATGTTGCTACTGGATAGACAATGACTGTTTTGAATAGAATCTCCTTTGGAACAACTATTGGTTCAAGACTACCTAATTATTTCTTAATGAACACTGAAGATGACGACATAAAATATTTGCTCGTTAAACCTAGACATAACAAGAGTGTTACAGTGGTATCCAATAACAAGATAATTGACTATTACAAAGTGATAAGAATCACTGATAACATGATCTTGGTCCTACAGGATGACTTGAAACAAATGAAGCCAAATGAGACCTACAAAGGTAGCCTATGTTCACAGACAAAATATAGTGTTTCACAATGGAGCAACTTAAGGAAAACCGTTCAAATAACTATCTCAAAATAAGCCCACAGTACAAATGCAGAGCAAGTGTATGCGTATACATTAACGGGACTATTAGTAGAAACAGAAATAATTTTGATGCTAAGATTTGCACTGACGAGACCACCAGTACAGTATCATGCTCACATTTCAGGAGGGCTACAGAAACACCAGAGAGATGCAAAGAAAATGCTGCTTTGCAGTTGTTTACTTACATGCACAAAAAAAAAATCTGCTATGCGTACAGAGAACTTTTTAATCTTGCTAGCAAAGGTGTAACAAAACACCCTGACTGGGAAGTTGAAGTTAAAAAACTAAAGTGGATGTGAGGTTCCTCAATATTTGTATGATTTATCAGGGGTTGAAATAGACTCCTCATCATATGGGAACTTAGAGTAAGAGTAGCATCTTAAGAAGTACTCTTTAACCCATCTTGTGAGCAAAACTCAAAGATTCTTCTTGTGAAAGACAGGCATCAATATGGATGTAACAGTACTTTCCCTCTTTGAAATCTGGGAATCCTCCAGTTTCCTAAGGCTTGCTAATAAGGATATGAGAAAAAAACCAGTCTGCAGCACATCCACATACTCAGGTTGATTAATTTTAATAATTTCTATCGAATCAGGAGCCTCCTCTGCTTGCTCACAAAGCTCCCAATTCTCTCTGATCCTGCCCAATTGGCCAGGTAGTCACTTTTGAGTAGCAGTGTTCTTTTGAACTATCAGGCACCAGTCACCAGCTGGAGCCTGGGCAGAGCGGGCAATACCAGCAAACCTCCTTCCCCAAGGCATGCTTCTATGCTCCCTTGTCTAGACCTAATCCTGGGTCGCTCTGTGCCTGGCCATATGCAAGCCAACCCTTGTGCGGAAAACAGAGTCTCGGCTCGGCTCTCCCTTGCGTTGCCAGGTCTGGACTGAGAGCAGAGAGCACACACCATCCGAACTAGCCAGCTCAGAGACTTCTGGCACAAGTCACTCCAGTCTCCTGACCAGACTGGGAACTGGAAGGGGGTTTTTGAGGAAAGAAAAAAAGAGTCACACTAGCAAGGATCTGGGCCTTGGTCTGCACTGTAGGATCTGCTGCCCCCGTCTTACCGAGGCAACACTCTGTGGTGGCTTTCCCCGGGGGCGCTCCTGAAGACCTGCCTCCGGCTGCCCGTTTCACCACGGTCCCCTCACAGTTATTCTCCCTCTCACCCCTCTCCATCCTAAGACGCCCCGCACACACACACGCGTATCCCCCCTCTCCGGCACCACCCACACATATCTCCCCTCTCCACCTCCACCCGTGCCCCAGCGCGGCCGGCCGCCAGCCCCCCAGCG